GCATTCCAGCAGGTTAATGTATAGATATATTAACCATGTATCTATAGTAGTGTGATGAAATGTTAAATTCTATAGTGAAAACTCCCTCACAAAGAGAAGACCTCAATAGGTAGATCTACTTTGCATTTTTTCTCACAAAACTGTTATTAAACTCAAGAAAATACCATACGGGCTCATAATTTCTTCTGTATCTGTGCACGTATTTTTGTCCTCTCTGCAAGCACATAAGCACATTAAAGTCTGACTATGCTTTGTGCAGACTCTTAGGAGACTTGGGTTTGGGATTTTTCTTGTAATTTTGGAATGCACAGTGTAGCCGATGGCAAAATTTGGCTTAGGTATTTTTATTAGTTGTGATGATACAAGAATGAGAGACCTAGTGTGATCCTCAGACCTCAAGCTGAATTTGCATTTGGGAAAACTATTTCTAGTCTGCTGTCTTCCACTAAAGAAACAGGCAAAAAATCTATCATCAGCAGTATCTTGTGCTCAGTCCAAGTTGATAAGAGTTAGAACAGAATCATGGAATAGTTAAGGTTGGAAAGGACCTTAAGATCATCTAGTTCCAATCCCCCTGCCATGGACAGGGACACCTCACAATAAACCATCTCACCCAAGGCTTTGTCCAACCTGGCCTTGAATGCTGCCAGGGATGGAGCATTCACAACCTCCCTGGGCAACCTATTCCAGTGCCTCACCACCCTTACAGTCAAGAACTTCTTCCTTATATCCAATCTAAACTTACCCTGTGTAAGTTTTAACCTGTTGCCCCTTGTACTGTCACTACAGCCCTTAATGAAGAGTCCTTCCTCAGCATCGGTATAGCCCCCCTTCAGTTACTGGAAGGCTGCTATGAGGTCTCCATGCAGCCTTCTCTTCTCCAGGCTGAACAGCCCCAACTTTCTCAGCCTATCTTCATACAGGAGCCGCTCCAGTCCCCTGATCATCCTCGTGCCCCCCTTCTGGACTTGTTCCAACAGTTCCATGTTGAGGACACCAAAACTGTACACAACACTCCAAGTGAGGTCTCAAGAGAGCAGATACAGGGGCAGGGGCAGGATCACCTCCTTCAACCTGCTGGTCACGCTCCTTTTAGAATCATAGACTCATAAAATAGTTAGGGTTGGAAAGGACCTTAAGATCATCAAGTTCCAGTTGCAAAAACCCAATATGCTACAGTCAATTTAACTGAAAAGTTGAACTTCTAGTTTTCCCATTAGAAGGTTGAACAGAGCTATTACTCACTTGGGAAGTGCAGTAGTTTTTCCATTCTGTTGTTTTCTGAGGTCTGTGTAAAGCTGTCAGTCTGGGAGATGCAGGTAGTGGCATCAGCTTGTAGATCGGGGGGACATTCTGTCAACATTACTGCTGGTTTCAGTTTCTCAGATGGATGTCCCTGTTGTTTTGTCTTGCTAGAACACTTGTGCTAGAGCACTAATGGTGTTTTAAATTTTTTTGTAGTGTACAGGTTTGAAGAAACCCTCACCTCCTGTTTTGTGAGCCTGCAGAGTTTCCAGGGAAGAAAATGCTGTGCCACCAGGTCAAGCCACCAGTAAGCTGGAGTGAATCACACTTGAGTTTGGGAGTTAAGAACAGTTGGACACAGCTTTTAGACAGCCACCTGTTTGTGGTTCTGCTACTCTATTGAGTCATTGTGATTATTTTTGACCGGGAGTAGTTAACAGAAGGCAGTGGCACTGCTCATTTTGATGTAGGGAAATACCTGCACAGTTGAAAAATGAGTTAGTTACAGCAGATGCTCTGCTGCAGTAAAAGGCTTACACTTCCAATATGAGAACTGGTTTTGCCTCCTCCCAACTGTTCTTCCTTGAAACTTCCTTTGTTTTGCTGTTCTGCTAGAACTTTTAATTTTAATACTACCTAAAGTACTTGCTGCTCTTGAGTAGCAGATTGTACATCAGAAATAGTCTTAGACCAGCAGTTTTTTACTATGTTTGAGGCTATTTGGATATTGTTTGTAAAAGAGTATCTATAGTCGAAGTTGCAAAAATATAGTGTTCAACAGTAAGTAATTACGAAGGTAGGAGTTAGTTACATTTTGACTGTTCTGGTACCTGGGTTTGCCAATAGGATTTAGGTGCATTTGGTGAATCCTAATTATATACAATTTCAAATTAGAAAATACTAGAAGGTTCAAGTGGGTCTTAATGTAGCACAATATGTAATCATGCTTGAGTAAGTGTAGTTAGGGTTTTGTTATTTACTACTGGGTTAAGGCCACTACAAACTTTCAAATAGTCATGAAGAATATTGATAGTTTTCATAATGCTCACTGTGCAATGCTTTATTTGAAAGGTAATATAATTAGATACGGGGATTAGAATATAGCTACATTTTTCTGGCCTAAGTTGGACACTGAGGAATTTCAAAATAAGGTTAGCATATACTTCACAATTTTTATAAATTGTATCATAGATGGGATCACATTTTTCATTGAAGACAGCAATTAATTATAAGAATAGTGCTGTGTGGCACTGTTTGATCATTTTCAAAGTGACAGTTGGGGCTGATGTTTCTGATGCCTCAACAGAAAGATCCTATTGCCAAAATAAAATAAATAAAAAAAAAAAGAAGGAAAGAATGGATAATAATTACTGAAACAGCCTAGCAATGTTCCAGATTTAACATCTCTATCGCTCTTGATTTAACATACTTCTCAGACTTTGATCAAATACTTTGGCCATCCATTTAGAATTAGTACTGTTTAATTGCAAAGTTTGAGATTATTTTAAGCACAATTTTATTTTCTGGATTTTTTTTAATAATGCTGTTGGTTATGAATACCTTCAAAACTGGCATGGTTAAGGTTTTTACACTTTTAACAAAATTAAGGTCTAATGATTGTAATATAGTAGAAACTTATGGATTGACTTCTATTTATTGAAAATACTGAACTGACTTGGTAAAACTGATTTGGTAAAATGCTTAAATTACGTTTATGGCGATTGCTTTTCTGTAGCAAGTGTTCGTAATATGACTCTCTGCTCAGGAGAATGGCCTCATCATAGGAGGAACAACATACCGTATAGAATATGCCTATTAATCCACAGCTGAAAAGTTGGTTCTTTTGTGTGGGGATTATAATGCAGTAATGATAAATCTGGTAGGATGATTCAGTCTTAAAGCTTCTCATGGAAAATGAGAACCAAGAAAGATGGTAATTTCAACTGCCATCTGTCAGTTGGCATGTCAGTAATATTTTTATATAGGTGAGATTTCACTCTGAGAAAGCCTTCCAACAGCATTTCTCACCAGAGCTGTGTTACTGTGGATGTAGTTGTAACTCTCTCTCAGTTCCCAGTTACCGTGACATTCAACTGGAACTACACTTTCTAATTGGTGTTGCTTTCTGCTAGAAGGGTACTAGCCTTACCCAAACATATTTTGGATGCTTACAGAATAGAAAATCAAAGTACAACATGAAACCTTTGACAAGAAGTTTAACAATATTTAATGCCTTAATTCAAAAGAGTGCAAATATACTGTTGTGAGCCAAGTTATGAGTGTAGAAACCTTTATTATAAGAAAGCATCTAAAGCACCAGTGATGTATTGTATATGAAGTGATACAACAATGCACTACTGAGCATGCAAAATACCTTAAAGCAAGAGATACTGAGTTTGTTGTTCTATTAACTTGACAACAGCCTAAATGTCAGCATGAGGTGACTTCATTCCTAACTGTTTCCCCAAAAAACATAAGGAGGCTAATCTATGTTTATTATATTGTGATAGAGGGCTACAGACAACTGTGCTTTGCTGCCAGTGGCATGTGTTTAGCCTTATTCTCCAACCATCTGAAAAAGACTGCAAAATATTTTAAGTTGTGCTTCCTTTTAATTATGAAATTCATTACTACTTTTGCTGTCAGGAGCAAATTCTATCCTGGGGTTTTAAAAGTTCAATAGCATTAAGTATTTATCTATCTAAAAAAAAATCTTACTTTTTTTATGCCACTCTAAGAGAAATATTAAGGGTGTGAATTAGGGATATGCTTAATAGTAACAGTAGTGTAGTATTAAAGTAGCCTTTGTTGGCCTCTGATCAGTTCATATTAGAAACATCCAGTAAAACATCATAGCTTGGCAGACTGCTCATCAGTACTTCTCTGATTTCCGGGTTTGTGCTGCTGTCTGAATGGGTCACTGCTCAGCACTGACATGGTAACAACCTGTCTGACTGTCTTTCAGGGTGGGTGGGATCAGTTCAGCATTGTATCTGCACTCCCTTTTCAGCTTCTGGGCTGCCAAGCAAAAGCAGCAGTTACAGGACAGCATGTGATGGGACGAGTGCTAGACCAGAGCACACTGCAGAGAGCCAGCTGCAGAGCTGAGTGCCTCTAAGATGAATAGTTTGTAGTTATTTGAGAAAGTATGTCCTAGTTTTGTCGTGGTTTAAACCCAGTCAGGCAACTTGTTCACTCCCAGTGAGTGGTGCTGGGCTGACAACAATCGAGGCCCCCCCCCCCCCCCACCGGGGCTCCTTCCCTTCCCCTCTCCCGGAGGAACGGGGAGGAGGATCGAAAGGGTGCAACTCCTATGGGTTGAGACGAGAACAGTCCAGCAACCAATGTACTACACAAATCACCACCGCTACTATCAACTACAACAATGATAAGGGAAAATAACAAGGGAAGAGAATACGATACCACCGGCCAAGAAACGAGTCCCACCCGGAAGCCCCTGTCCTTCCAGGTAACTCCCAGTCACCCCCCACCCCGGGCATGACGTCCTGTGGTATGGAATACCTCCTTGGCTAGCCTGGGTCAGGTGCCCTGTCTCTGCTTCCTCACGGCTTCCCCTCCTCCCTGGCAGAGCATGAGCCTCACAAAGTCCTTGGTCAGGGCAAACATCACTTAGCAACAACCGAAAACATCGGTTTCACCAACATTGCTCCCAGGCTGGAAGTCAAAACACAGCACTGCACCAGCTACCACAAAGGAGAAACATGACTGCTACTGCTGAACCCAGGACAAGTTTATCAAATGGTATTCATTAGGCATGCAAATTGAGAGATTTAAATGCACAATTAATCATGTAAACTTCTATCACTAAGGACTAACTATTAAGTAAAAGCATGATTATTTTTAGAGATTTTTCCAGGACCCTACACTGAGCAACTTGTAACTTCATCACCATTTTGTCGTGGTTTAAACCCAGTCAGGTAACTTGTTCACTCACTCCCAGTTGAAGTTGAGCTACTTGTCTTATACTAGTGCACAAAGATAACGTACACTGCTTATTCCAAGTGTCCTACTATATTCTTAATTTAATCTTTGTATATCTCATACCTTAGCAATAAATTCTGGGGAGTTAATCCTCATTCATCTTCCACTACAAAATGTTTTCTTTTTACTTATTAAAAAACAAAATCCCACACCTTTATTATTTTAGAAAGTTACTTTCATAATTACTTCAGGCTTTTCTAAAATAAATGTGGTTATAGTTTAATTATAAAAGCAGTTTATATAAAGCTGATACATTTTTATGGTTTTAATTTCTGAATGCATTGTTTTCTCTCTGGAACTAACACACACAAGTACTACATCTGTCCCATGATGAGCCACTGAATCAGCATTAACATTACAGCTTTTTTAAGTTCTCCAACAGCTAAATTCTTTAACTATTGTACATATGGATTTAAACAAAAAAAAATACAGAATACTTGCTTAATTTTCAGAAATGCATGTTACTTTCCAGTAATGTGTAAATGACAAGACCAATTCAGGTGATACAACGTATTCTGCTCACTGAAACACTAAACTTTATTTAGACAGATTTCTTTCTATCAAATACTACTAAAGAACGGGTGGTACATAAATAATGATACATGCAATCTGATCACTTTACTAAGAAAAATAAAATCATAGTTCTGTTAAATAAAGATGAAATGCTATTATATACAGTCTGTTAACTGAAAAGCCTCGTGAGACATTCAGGTCTGATTTTAATACTTTCCAAATAAATACCAAATAATGCAACATTTACAAATAGCATACCAGCAGTACTTGCACAGTAATTATTTTACAAACCAGAATTTAGTATTTCAATTGAGCAAATGAGTAGCAGCTCCTTCATAAATACTAAGGCATGTCACATAGCATCAAAATGGAACCGATGAGCCTCCTGTCGCTTCTCTCTGTCATCTGCTTTCTGAAAAATAATAATAAAAAAAACACTTTATGGGATCTAGAGCAATACTGTTACAGAAATGAGTTGTCAAATGTCAGAGAATGGTTGATTTTTACCATGTCACTGTTAGCAAAAGGCAAAATGTTCAGTAAAAGCCTCAATAATTATCTTTTAAATGGTGTCAGTTTGAAATAGCAACAATCTACTCAAAATTGGCTTCTGCTGTCAATGCTCAGCTGTTTTAGTATTTATGTACCATTATTTTCTATTATTTGTAATACTGCTTTTTTAAAAGCGGCATTTCAAAAACGAAGAATGTTTCCTGTTATGTATTTATTTATTTATTTAGTATGCATTATAAATATGAGATGAAGTTACTCTGGAATAATGTCATCTGTGTATGTAAATCATCATGTAGATGTCATCATGTAGATGTTACACTTCTAATGAGATTCTTTTTAACAATTCCATCAAATACAAATTTCTACAAAGATGGCAGTTCAACCAACAATTAACAGCACCAAGTAGGCTAAAAACTTTTTGTGGTTTTGTTTGTAGGATGCATTTCCATGCTTATCTATGCAGAGCACACAGTGATCTGCTGAAAGAGCAGTTTGGATGGTGCCTGGAAAAAGCAGCATATTTAAATTGTACTTACGATCCAGGTAATGCAGAAAAACATGTCCTTTCCCACAAGCCTCCTCTTGTGTTCTAAAGCAGTACTAGAGTCTGAAAGTACTTTTTAAAGGATATTCTGAACACAGAATGTGAACTTTTCTAGAAAACAGTGTTTTTGTAATGACTGACGGTATGTATAAATCCTAGCATAAGAGAATTTAGCAAAACGGATTTAAGTGTTTTTTTGCTTGCTTAATCCCAACGTTTTTTTTAATGAGTAAAATGAAGAAAAGCTCTTACAGTATGCTGTTGCAAACGGAATTCAGATTTGTATCTCAATGGATAAATATACATGACAATTTTTGTAGAAATCAGTGCATGTGTTCTGCCATGGGAGTTTGTCATCTGCTTTGGCACAAGGCCAAAGATTTCTTTATCACACAATGTTTATGTATGATAGCAACTCCACTGGATTAACTATGGATTTTACTGCATGTTGTGGCAGCAGCAGCTGTCAGTGAAGTTTAAGATGTATCGGTCTGGCTTTTTGGAAGGGATTATCCATGTCAGTAGTATTCTGAATGTCAAAAATGGAGTGTGAAGAAGGGAGTGCCATGCTCTTTCCTACATTGAAATGCTTGTCACATTTGACAAAATTTTGTAGTCTCACTTAGAAGGCAATTTTCACTCCATTTTTTGTATGCTTCCTGAAAAATTACTACTTCAAATTTGACAGTAACCGATACTCTGAGGAATCCATCAAAACTTCTCTAGCAGTGTTATCATCCATGAGCAGTGTTCACATGACTACCATCAAGGCCACAAAGCCAGTTATAAAGAATGAGAACACAGGAGTATCAAGGTCCTTAGCTAATGTAGCAGACTAGATTTTCTGTAAGATGAATAACGGTTTAAATTCTTCCTCAATTTCTCTTTCATTTCATGTATCAAAACTAAGGTATCAAATTTCTAAGGAATGACAGAGTGACCTACTACCCTTAAGTCCTACAGTTATTTAAACAATACAATACTTGGCTGGCAGATGAATTTGTAACAACTATTGTAGACAAAGGGCTCCTATTATCACCTATCTGGAGAGGTCAAAGTACATGTTTTATTTTAACTGCTGAATAAAACACTGCATCTTACAGACAGATATAACCTCTGGGGAAAAAGAAGACATTGCAACAGCCAGTACATTTCCCCTTCCTTTCTTTGCTACAGGTACTCTAGAGACCTGTAAAGGAAATAAGCATTTATGCAGAACAGTATTTTTATAAGACTAGCGAAAGAGGCAGTAAACCATGAACAAGATCATGAACATGGAATTTTGGAGTTTAACTCCCAGTTATGTCAGTGATACACAATACAGCCTTGGTTAAGAGTCTTATTTGTTCTGTACCTCAACCATTCCTTCTAAAAATTGGGAAGGTTAAAATCAGTAGGAAGGCACTGGAAAATTACAGGAATTAACAAATGTTTATATGGTAGTCTGAAAATACACACAATTTATCCAAATATTTATGCCTACTTTGACCAAGATGCAGCTGTTGGAAATGTGTTTATAATACAACTAATACACCATTTCATTCACATACACCTAATGGGATTTAAAATGGCTCAGAAAGCACTCTGGGCCAAGTGCTTCTTTATATCACAATACATGAACTATTATGTGAAGAATTGTTTTAAACATTGACACTGAATTTCCATTTCTCCAGATGGCATTATATATAGTTAATCCTTCCCCAGCTCAAAGTCCAAGTATTTTTTCTGCTATTCTTGTTGCTTAAGATTTGCTAGAAACAGAGTTAAACCCAGCCTGTATATAGTCCTAGCTATCAGCAATGCTTCCTTGATACAGTAGGACATGCTAAGGACAGTCAGTGAAATTTTGCTTCACTTTGTGTATTTTATTCCAGCTTTTCTATTATTTGGAGACTGTATTTAATACTTTGAAGAGTGAAGACTGACAGACAACATTTAAATGTGCAAAGCCTATGTGAATGTTTAACAAGGTCATTTTATTTCCACAAGCACAAAATAACAAACAATTCTACCACGTCAAATTGTGCAGTAATTTTATTTGACAGTTAAGATTATGGCTTGGGTACATAGTAGCATTTATTGGCAATTTTGCCAGTTGAATATGATGGAGAACTGAGCATAGTCAAGAAAAATGGGAACGCATTTCTTTTGTGAAATGAAAGGCCCATTCAAAATGCTTCTTCAAATCAATGGATTTTTATCCACTGCATGTATAATTCAGACACACAGAGGAAAGCAGCCAATATTACATGATTGAATTTGTATATAGTTTTGAATGATGATGTCAGTACAATCAGCAAAGACAGATACAGAAAAAGAGACATTTTCCTTATTTTTATATTACTAGCAGATCTCAAGGTAGGTAAACCGATTTCATGTTCCATTTTCCAAAACAGCACCCCTTAAAACTCTGCATAATAGAAAGCTTATATATGAAACAAAAATGTATCATTTACTTGGGAATAATACCTTAATGGCAAAAATTCATCCATGTTGTCTTCACTTCCCTTTTTAAGTGTCTTAGAGCTTAAATAAAAACAATGCCAGTTTTAAAGATTGCAGTAAATTCTGACTCAATAAGTAAACACTTTTAGGGAGTTAATGCAGTCTGTGTCAGAAACTATACTGTAGAAAAATATGCAAAAAACCAACATACAAGACTGTAAAATTTTAGGAAGTGTTAAATAGTACAGAAAATACAGAAAAGAATCTAGCTAATTAAGCTTACCTTTTCTTGCCAGTGTAATATGCCAATTATAGCCAGGATGAAAACACAGACACCAATTAAGGCTATAGCTGTTAGCAGCACAATGTTACTTGGGGTCAGATACAGCTTGGCACTCCAGCTATATGGAAGAAGAAAATCCAAGGAAACATTAATACCCTTCACCAGGAAGCAGAAAACAGAGTTAACTTAAAAAGATCATAGAATAGTTAGGGTTGGAAAGGACCTTAAGATCATCAAGTTCCAACCCCTCTGCTATGGGCAGGGACCCCTCACACTAAACCATGTCACCCAAGGCTCTGTCCGACCTGGCCTTGAACACCACCAGGGATGGAGCATTCACAACTTCCCTGGGCAACCCATTCCTAGTGTAAGACAGATAACAACTTGGGCTATGGGAGCTAGGGGTTATACTTAAAAGACTGAAGCTTAATGTTTTTTTTAACTTGAAAATATATGGCTTAATATAATTATTTACAGATAATGCTATGTCTAAATTCGGTTTCTGTTTAACTTTCCAGGAAACCTATGGATATCCTCAGGGACTGACTTTTTTTTCTCATTAGGAGATTATCTCCTTCCCCTGCCCAGGACAAAGTAAAAGATGCAGCAAAGTCTCCCACATAACTGCCTGGGGCTCGGGGAGAGGGAGCAGCAGGGTGAAGTAAGCCTGTAAGATCTATTGTTTTCTGCAGACAAGAAGCTCCTCTTGGACAGGCTACAGAGCTCAGCTGGTTGGGCATTGCTCAGTCTGAGTTTACCAGAGACAATGGCAGTTGTAGGCAAAATAACCAGTTGATTATGGCAGGAGAATGCTGGAAAGCAAAAAACCTAAGCACTTGAAGGGCTTCTGGAAGCCATCCCTTGAATGTTGTGGGGTCCTACGGCTCATCTAACACCCCTTCTGTACTATAGGCTTCCTGTCATGGGAAAGCTGTCAGCAGGAGGCCATGTATCCGTGTCAAAGAAACTATAAATTTGTAAAGGTTTATTATGAAATCTGATTTCTTCTTGGGATTCTCTCCTCTGCTTTTCTAGTGTCCGTAAACTTTATAGGAAAGCAAAAATAATTTAAGGATAAAATGACAGGAAATATTTTGCATAACGCATACCCTTAAATACCTCAAGAATGTAACTAGATTTTCTTCATCTGGCAGATGCTATTCCTGTCGTTCTTAATTAGCAACTTAAGCAGCATATCACTTCTCAACTGTTATCTGTCCTATAGTAAAATTAACTGCTGAAACAGATGTCAGAATCATTTCTGCATGATAAATGCAACTGAACTCAGTAAAACATCAAATGGCAAAAAGCAGCTGGAATATCTGACTAATGGAAAAGACAGAAACATGCTCTCTTTCTGGGATAAACATTTTAATTGCAAAGTGAATTCTGTGTTTATGCTCTTGTGTAACTGACCCATTCACTTTTTCTTAAAGAAAAGTATTAATGCCTGTGGCAACAAATGCTGCATTCAGAATGGCTGAACTGAATGTTTTATATGCAACCAGACAGAAACTGCACGTTTGGTGAAACAGAAGTGCTTGCTTAGATCATTACCACACTTGCAATTTGTCAAAAGAATGTTGGTAAATTCTGCAAATATGTGACTTTTGCAGGAGTTGAGCTGGTAATATTCTGATCTCTTATGGGCACTACCTAAGCAGCTGTGTAAATACCTGAGAAGTATTCTGCCTAGCCACTGAGGAAACTACATCCACAGAACTGACTGCCACCACTGTTCTTAAATTTCCTTGCTCTAAAAGTGACTGGTTTTAAACATACTACACATAGTGCCTGAAGTAAACTCTGTATTAATGTGATTTTTTGAAGTGCAAAACAAAATGATGAAGTTACCTTCGAGGAACATTATGAGGATAGGGAATAACTATAAGCTGGGAGTTTGGTATGATAGCCGTCCATTCTTGTTTTCTTGGAGACTGAAAGAAAAACAAAGGCTATGTCAATTCATAACGAAACAATATACTTAAAAGCAAAGAAATTCTCTGTTGAGACATACAAAAGGAGAGTGCTGGCTTTGGCTGGGGTTGAGCTAGTTTTGCTCATAGCTGGTGGTATGGACTGTGTTTTGGATTTGTGCTAAAACAGCACTGACAATCTAGTAGTGGTTTGTTGACCACTGAGCAGTGCTCACAAAGCCATGGCCTTTTCTGCCTCTTACCAGCCAGCGAGGAGGCTGGAGTTGGGGTTACCCAGCCAGGATGGCTGGCCCTCGCAGACCCAAGGGATGTTCCACACCATGTCCTGTCATTCTTAGCATATAGAGCTGGAGGAATAAGGAAGGGACTAATCACTGCCTGGGCTGGGCTGGGCATTGGTCAGAGAGTGGTGGGCAACTGTACTGTGCATCACTTGTCTTTCTGAAGTGTTATTCCTCTCTGTTATTTCCCTTTCATTACTTTTATTATAATAATATTTTACTTTATTTCAATTATTGGCCTGTTCTTATCTCAACCCACGGGTTTTCCCTTTTCCTGGTTCACCTCCCCATTCCAGCAGTGGGGGGAATGAGCAAGCAGCTGTGTGGTACTTAGTTGTGGGATGGGGTTAAATATGACAAGGAAAACACACACAAAAACCCCCAATCCAGTTGTTTTTCATCTTTTTATTTTAAATATAAGTGATTATTCCCTTATGTTTGTATAAGCCTTTTATTCTGAAAACTCCAAAGTGCTTAAAAAAAACAAAGTAAAATAAAGTACAAAGCAACAACGTAATAGGGAAAGCTGAAAAGAACCAGTTCTAAAAAGGAGGCAGGCAAAGCAATTATCCAAATCAGAATTTGGCCAGGATGCTAATTTGAATACCTTGCTTTTTAAAGCTGTACCATCAGATCTTTAAAGACTGAAAATTACTAGGACCCTACTTTTATGTTTCATCTGAAGATTACCTCCCGCCATACTGATCCCGGTTTTATAACTGAGGTAGAGAGGATTATGTGAGTTTACAGGCTGGCCAGGTCAACCCCAGGAAAGTTTTACAGCTGACCACAATAACTGGATCTTCAGATCTAATACACATTTGCCAAATAAGCAAGCACTATATACCTGTAGTAACATTTACAAACAAATTCAGTCATCTTTTGGTCTTAGTGTTAGCTTCGGAGTTTATATGCTCTATAAGAACCAGGCACACAAGTTTTTTTCTAACTTTTTTTCTGTATGCAAACTACTACTTTTGATGTACTGTGTACAGTTCTGGTGTTCTCAACACAAAAAGGATATGGAACTGTTGGAACAAGTCCAGAGGAGGGCCACAAGGATGGTCAGGAGGCTGGAGCATCTCCTATACAAAGACCAGCTAAGCAAGTTGGGGCTATTCAGCCTGGAGAAGAGAAGGCTGTGTGGAAACCTCATATCAGCCTTTCAGTATCTGAAAGGGGCCAATAAGGATGCTGGGGAGGAACTCTTCATCGGGGACTGTAGTGTCAGAACAAGGGGTAACAGGTTCGAACTTAAACAGGGGAAGTTTAGATTAGATATAAGGAAGAAGTTCTTTACTGTGAGGGTGGTGAGGCACTGGAATGGGTTGCCCAAGGAAGTTGTGAATGCTCCATCCCTGGCAGTGTTCAAGGACAGGCTGGACAGAGCCTTGGGTGACATGGTTTAACGTGAGGTGTCCCTGCCCATAGCAAAGGGGTTGGAACTAGATGATCTTAAGGTCCTTTCCAACTCTAACTATTCTATGATTCTGTGATGGCTTTCTCTGATGGGACTATGGAACTGATGGATAAGGGCAGAGCAGCTGACGTCATCTACCTGGACTTCTGCAAAGTGTTTGACACTGTCCCGCACAACATCCTTGTCTCTAAACTAGAGGGACATAAATTTGATGTGGATGGACCAGTCTGTGGATAAAGAATTGGCTGGATGGCTGCACACAAGGAATTGTGGTAAACAGTGCAGTGTCCACGTGGAGACTGGTAACAGGTGGTGTCACTCAGGGGTCCATTTTGGGACCCATTCCCTTCAACATCTTTGTCAGTGACATGGGATTGAGTATACCCTGAGCAAGTTTGGCAACAACACTAAGCTGGAGGGAACGGATGGGAGCAATGGGGACCTTGAGATGTCTGAGAGGTAGCCAGTGCCAAACTCATGAAGTGCAACAAACCGAAGTGCAAGGTCCTGCATCTGGGTCAGGGAAATCCTGGGCACAGCTACAGGATGGGCAGAGAAGAGACTTAGAGCAGCCCTGTGGAGAAGGACCTGGGGTGTTGGTCCATGAGAAACTGAACATGAGCTGGCTTCAGTGTGCACTTGCAGCTCAGAAACAGTGTGCTGGGCTGCACCAAGTGTGACTAGCAGGTCGAAGGAGGTGATCCTGCCCCTCTACAATGCTCTCGTGAGACTCCACTTGGAGTAATGTGTGCAGTTCTGCTGTCCTCAACATAATAAGGACATGGAGCTGTTAAAGCAAGTCCAGAGCAGGGCCATGATGTTGATAAGGGGGCTGGAGCACCTCCCATACAAAGACCAGCTAAGAAATCTGGGGCTTTTCAGCCTGGAGAAAAGAAGCTGCATGGAGACCTCATAGCAGCCTTCCAGTATCTGAAGGGGGGCTATACAGATGCTGAGGAAGGACTCTTCATCAGGGACTTCAGTGCTAGGACAAGGGTTAATGGGTTCAAACTTAAAACAGGGGAAGTTCAGGTTAGATACAAGGAAGAAGGTCTTTACTGTGAGGGTGGTGAGGCACTGGCACAGGTTGCCCAAGAAGTGGTGAATGCTCTATTGCTGGTAATGTTCAAGGCTAGGCTGGACAGAGCCTTGGCCAGCATGGTCTGTTGTGAGGTGCTCCTGTCTGTGGCAGAGGGGTTGGAACTAGATGATCTTTAAGGTTCTTTCCAACCCTAACTCTTCTATGATTCTATGAATATCCTTGCTTCTGGAGGGAAAATAAAAAAGGAAAACAGAAAAAAAAGTCCCTAGCAGTATTTCCATCTAAAGTCTATCAATAAAGGTAACACCATATACATTGACAATTGTAGTATTGACAATCATTAAATCTCAACTGACCTTTTCTCCTAAAGGACGAGGAATGCCAACATACAAATGGTCAAGGAAATTAGCACTACGTCCCAAGCCTAGTACGTTGTATGGAAGCTGCAGAGCATAATGCGCTGATTGGCTAAGCTGTCCAGCTGAAATAAAATTAGAAAAGAAGTCCAAATAGGTATTTTGTGGGAAAAAAAAAAGAGCAACCCTGAAACCATTAACTTTCTACATGTATACATTCAGAGTCAGTCATGAAAAAAATTTAAAAATGTTAATCAACTGCATGATTGTTTAATTCTTAAAGGTTCAGTCCCACATTTCCAAAACTTCTTGTGGCCACTCACTTGGAGAACAGCTTGAATGTTTTAGGTTTCTAGGTAAGATGATTCTTTTGAGCAACATTTCCATGTTAAACTGAACCTAGACTACTGTCCTGGGGTCAGCAGTAGCAGTCACTTTTCTCCTTCTTAGTAGCTGGTGCAGTGCTGTGTTTTTGACTTTCAGCCTGGGAACAACACTGATAACACCAATGTTTTTTGTTGTTGCCAAGTAATGTTTACTCTGAGCAAGGACTTTCTGAGTCTCATGCTCAGCCAGGGAGGAGGGGAAGCTGGGAGGAAGCAGAGACAAGACACCTGACCCAAACTAAGAAAAAGGATATTCCATACCACAGCATATCATGCCCAGTATATAAACTGAGGACAGTTACCTGGAAGGGCCAGATCGCTGCTTGGGTCCGGCTGGGTATCGGTCGGCGGGTGGTAAGCAGTTGTATTCTCTTCCCTTGTTATTTCCCTTATCATTATTATTATTGGTGGTAGCAGTAGTGGTTTTGTGTTATACCGTAGTTACTGGACTGTTCTTATCCCAACCCATGGGAGTTACATTCTTTTGATTCTCCTCCCCATCTCTCTGGGAGCAGGGAGAGGAAAGGGGGGCGGAGTGAGCGAGTGGCTGCATGGTTCTGAGTTACCAGCTAGGCTTAAACCACACAGTTCTTTGGGGGGTAACTGCCTCCAGCTTACATACAGGGCATGACATGCTATGGTATGGAATACCCCTTTGGCTATTTTGGGTCAGGTGTCCTGTCTCTGTTTCCTCTCAGCTTCCCCTCCTCCCTGGCTGAGCATAAGACTCAGAAAGTACTTGCTCAGAGTAAGCATTACTTAGCAACAACTAAAAGCATTGGTGTTATAAGCACTGTTCCGAGGCTGAAAGTAAAAACCACAGCACTGCACCAGCTACTAAGAAGAAGAAATAAGACTGCTACTGCTGAATGCAGGACAACTATTTTTCACAGGTTGAGAAGAAATCAGATTTCTGCATTTGTTTTTATGTGAAATAGTGCCAAGTCTTTTGCCCTATTGATTTACAACCTCATACTCAGTATGTGGAAGTTCACTTTATTCTTGGTTTTAATCAGTAACTACTGATTTTTCTTGTGTCACAAAATAAGCTGAGTAAATTTGTATGAACCAATTCTTACACAATAAATTGATTCAATGAAAGCAGGATTACAGTGGTTGTAAGGCAGGCCCTAGTAAGAGCATGTAATTATAACTAATTAAAATAGAGACTGTAGGGGAAAAGTAACACTCTGTGTTTCCTGAAAAGGCAGCAGGGAAACAGACAGCTGCAACAGATAGTGTTGCAGCTATCAACAGGTTTGCTAACATCCCATTTCCAAGGTATCTGATTTGTCCATTTAAACAAAAAAATTTGTAATCTTCTAGTTTCTGGCAAACTGATTCAGATCCGATGATGATTCTTTGTTCATAGTCTAGAAAGCTTCTTAGGAAGTGATTTGGATTTTAGGGAGCAGGAAAAATATCAGCACCTCATAAGCACCACAATGAATCTAGCCTTTCACCAGGTTAACAGAAATGAGTGTGAAGGACACTTGACAACCACAAGCAGGTTTATGTGATAAGCAGAAACAGCTTCTCACAGAGGTATGATGTAGTCTGTATTTTTAAAGGATTGAAATTTATCTCTGCTTTGACACCTAACATTATGCGTCAAATTGGAAAGTGTAAGTTAAGTGGCAGAACATAATAAAATGTGAATTAAAGAACACAAATTCACAAGCACCTCCTTATGAAGACAGGCTGAGAAAGTCAGGGCTGTTCAGCCTGGAGAAGAGAAGGCTGTGTGGAGACCTCATAGCAGTCTTCTAGTATCTGAAAGGGGCCTATAAGGATGCTGGAGGGACTCTTCGTCAGGGACTGCAGTGTCAGAACAAGGGGTAACAGGTTCAAACTTAAACAGGGGAAGTTTAGATTAGATGTAAGGAAGAAGTTCTTTACTGTGAGGGTGGTGAGGCACTGGAATGGGTTGCCCAAGGAAGTTGTGAATGCTCCATCCCTGGCAGTGTTCAAGGCCAGGTTGGACAGAGCCTTGGGTAACATGGTTTAGTGCAAGGTGTCCCTGGCCATAGCAGAGGGGTTGGAACTAGATGATCTTAAGGTCCTTTCCAACCCTAACTGTTCAATGACTCTATGAATTTATAACTGATTTACAGACAATTCCTTACTACCTCGCCACACTTTCTTCCAAGGCTGAAAGACAAGATCTGAAAAATCAGCCTGATACAGTTACCTTTTTATTAAGCTAAAATGCTTTTAGCAGAAAGAAATAGTACAGTCTTCTGAAAGATTAGGCATATTTTAGATTTACTTTTTCCCCATGCAGAACCATATAAAAAGCAAGAAAATGTGGAAATAATTAAATAGGATTTGTCTTTTCAGTCCTCTGTTGTCGGGTCAAGGTGTACTGCGTATGTTGCCAGGTGAATTCCTAGATTATGGACTCTGTGCCAGAAAGCATTAACTCAGCAGGTTTCACTCCAAAAAAAAGTATTTTGTCCAGTAAGCTGAGATAACAGTATAGGTCTTGAGTCTGTCCCCACTTTTTGACTGACTTTCCTTACACGACTGTGGCTAAACTGCTTAATCTTCAGGTCTCAATTTCCAACTCTAATTTGAGAATTACTCAAATTTTAGATGATATGTAATATTTGAACGCACTGGTTATCAGTATAAAATTGGCAAGGAGCAAAGGTACGTTTATTACACAACTTGGTTATACAACCAAACAAGGTAAGATCATGCTTTCACTTTTGCTGCGTTCTGAAGAACTTCTCCCAAAAGAACAAGGTGCTGCTGTAACATTTAACATTTTAAAGCTTTCAGAAGGACTTTCGAGTGAAATATTTAGCATTATGAGAAGACTGCAACTGAGATCTTCCTTTTTCTTTCATCATAACAAATGAAACGTATAAATTTCAACTAAATTAAATGAAACAAAAGAAAGTGTAATACACTGTGTGCAATCAGCCTTAGAGAAGTCAGACAGTGCAGCTAGAATTCTTAAAAGCATTGAATAATTTTATGGCTACTAACACTGCTTCTTCTGTTAGTACACAAGTTAGTAGTTATCTACAAAGATAAGGATAATGAAATCATGTGCTTCAGAATGTAAATAGATCATTTGCAAAAGTCAGAGAGAATGTTTTCTGCTACATCACAGGCAGAAAATGTGCATGTATCTTTTTTATTTGCTTTTACAGTTGGGAGATGTTAGTGTATAGAACATTCTAGTTTACTTTAAGGCTGGTTACAAATATGAGATCTCTGGGACTATTTCTTGCTTTACTCCCTGTATATCAATCATAAATTCTGTCTGAGGGCTACTCAAATGTTCCACTTGGAATTGCAAACAAGTAATTAAGAATGAAAAATGTTCATCTGAGAAACATAAAAACCCAGAACAAAATTAAAAATAAAAGGAGACATTACAGAGAGTACTGTCATCAGTTGTCATATTTGAAGTTCTCAGTCACTGGTAATTAATTTACTTATGCAACTATTTCAATTTTAATTGAAATAGCAACTTTAGCAATTTGCCCTGCTGTAAAACTATTGTGAAGAGTTTTATGCTTGATCTAAGAAGATTTGAAAATACCATTCCATCTTCAAGAAGGAAGAAGGGATTTATTTCTTATACTAAGATTGTTCTTTAAGCTTTTGGAAGTCTATGCAAGCAAGATGGAGAAACTGGCTGTTGCTCGTTTGTTTTGCTTCATTAGTAGAACTGGAATTAAAAAGCCTTCTCCTGTCCATGCTATACATACTACCTTTTAACACTACTTTTAAGACTATTTTAACACTATGTCTTCTGCATTACGCTTCTCATTTCAAAAAAAGTTATTGGGAAGCACCCAGGTATCTTGGGCTATGGTACTGGGTATGGTACCTGCACTGAGCTCTGCGGGCAGGGAGGGTGCTAAACTTTAACTTGGAACGTGAATGAGGGCTGCAGCAGCTCTGCTCTGGAGCCAGGCTGAGAGAGCTGGGCTTGTTCAGCCTGGAGAAGAGAAGGCTCCTGAAGGGGAGACGTTAGAGCAGCTCCCAGTGCTTAAAAGGGGCCACAGGAAACCTGGAGGGGGGCTTTGGACAAGGGCCTGTAGGGACAGACAAAGGGGGAAATGGCTTTAACCTGCCAGAGGGGAGACTGAGTTGAGCTCTTAGGCAGAAGCTCTTCCCTGTGAGGGTGCTGAGGTGCTGGCACAGGGTGCCCAGAGAAGCTGTGGCTGCCCCATCCCTGGCAGTGTTCAAAGCCAAGTTGGACAGGGCTTGGTGCAACCTGCTCTAGTGGAAGGTGTCCCTGCCCATAGCAGGGGTTGGAACCGGATGAGCTTTAAAGTCCCTTCAACGCAAACCAGTCTGGGATTCTACGATTAGTTATACACTAACGGTTAACAGTTGGACCAAACGATCGTTGAGGTCCCTTCAAACCTGGTATTCAATGTTACTTGTCTATGATACAGGTTTCATTTTTATTTTTGCTTTAAATCATAAGTCACTAAGTTTACTGTTTAAAAAACCTTAGGCAGAATAAAGAACCTCAACAGTTTAAGACATAGTTTTCAGTGGTTTCAGCCTGTCAGAGACCAAATTTTTGAGAAATAGCTAATGACACTGGGCAGCCAAACCTCACAGAATTTTACAGAGTTTGATATTCAGGAATCATTCTGAACACCTCTGAATCAATCATATCCTTACTTTTGAAGTCTGGCATATAAAACTTGAAGCAGTACACATCATTAACTTTTTGAAAGTCTTGACTAAGAAATAGAACTATGTGC